CTGCTTTACTTGGAATTTAAACGCATTTGCGAGTATGTAATTTATAACTGAGGTACTGGAACGCAACCATAATCTTTGCTTGCAGAACGGCGTCGAACCACCGCCGAAGACCAATATGACTCTGAAGTTTAGTGTACACTAAACAAATGTTCTGCGATTAGGGGAAATCATGTGACAAAGAACTACATTTTACATGTAATTTGACTTGCTTATCGTTCCTTTTAACACGTTAACCAAGGAATACGCGTTACAACCTTGTATATTTCCGATGGGCTTCACAACAGCTACCTAAAAACTAAGCTAAAAATGAAATCGCAAGCATCTTGGCCACGCTTGATGCTCGGATTGAATTTCAATTATGTGCTCTTTTCTGCCATCCATACGCCGAAAATTTCCCCTGTGTACAGATTACAGTAATACATCTGTGCTTACCTGCAGCTTCGTGGATCAAAAACACCGGACTGGGGAAGAAAATTAAGCAAACTCCAACGAAAATGTAGGAGACATAAGCTTCACATTCAAAATGGCGATTGAATATGCACTGAGTCATCGTCATATTTCGCGCTCTTGTTCCTGATTGGTCCAAAATGCAGCTTTTTTATCATTGGCAGTAAGCAAGGCAATTCTTGCTCTGATTGGTCCAAACGAGCAAAGGAGACTTCTGTCTGATTGGCTGTTTGATTTTGTAGTGTTCAGTCTCCTCACCACGCGAAAGTTGAGTAATCAAAAATGGCTGCCAAAGCGAAAGTCCTCCTTCGATCGTTCGTTGAAGATGGCATGTAATTAAGGTTTATACAAAGTGTGATGTCTTTTTCTTAGCCTATAGTACTTATAGGGGCGTTGACAGGATTTTTAAGATGCGTATATTGCTGAGTGCGTTGCAAAAAGAACTCATCTAAAGCAAAGTACATCGGCTGTGATGGGAAATTTTTAGTTTACAAAATGCTACAAGGAAGAGTCTTTTTTGGAGGAGGAAACGTATTTTTCCACTTCACTGAAACGTCCTGCCGACCCAGAGAAAAAGGAGAAAGGTAAGCTTATTGTTTATGTGATATTTTTATCACTCAAACTGTGTACAACGTCTTTAAGAAACGGTCCAGATAAGAACGATAGCAACAACGGCAACGAACATGTTGGAATACAAAAAAGGTGCTAACTTTTCTATTGTCTGTACTTACTTCTGATTGGCTTAAACAGCAAAAGTTAACAAAACTTCATAAAGCGGTACATATATTCATCCTTACTTTCCAACCATCTTCCATATAACAAAATCTGGTCTCAGTTTGAATAACAAAGAAATCCTATGTGGGGAACGTGTAAAATTGTAAACTTTTCTTGGCTATTGTTTTCAACTCTTGTGATTGGTCAAAATCTTTTAACACAAAAAACCACCCTTCCAAAGTGGAGTGTAAATGCATCTTATTGCGTAAACAGCCTTCATGTAGGTTTATGCATTCTCTGTGTAAAAATGAGAACATTCCTGTGTGGAGAAAGCACCGTTGCTGCATAACAAAAGAAATTGCTATCCACCTTACCCCGATCATTACTTTAATTATTTAGGTGTTGTTGAGTTTTGTATAAGCTTAGGCTTAGTTTTTCTGTTTCTTGCCGGGTTGTAAATTTCTGACTGAATGACGGAGTGATGAATGTAGCGACTTAGAAACCTCCTTATTTGTTTTTTTTATTATTTTTATTTGTTTGCAAAACATTTCTCAATACGAACAATTTTGGCGTAAAATACGCCAAATTTGGCGTATTTGTGAACCCTGTAACAGTGAACCGCATCTGTTAGAAAAGCACGCAGACGTCTCCCGACTCCAATTCTTCTCTAGTTTTGTAGTAAACAGGCTTATTCAGGGTTCACAAATACGCCAAATTTGGCGTATTTTACGCCAAAATTGTTCAGATGACTCCACTGAGGTTACGTAGGGAGTCACTTTGACTCCAGAAATTTTTGGTAACAAACAGGGAGCCACTTTGACTCCAGAAATTTTTGGTTACGAACACAGTTTTGTCCTTACCTTTTTTGCAACAAATACAATTTACATTAATTGTAAACGTTGTAAACCTTAATTAAATCATCGAAATTAAAGAATTATACTGTATGACAAAACAGGAAGAGGGTAAATTACGATCGAAGTTTACTCGATGACCGCCATCATGGATTTGAGCTTTCCAGGTCAGCGGGCCGCCACAGCTAGGGCCATGTGATGGAAAGTCTGAAAATGGCTTTTTTCGTTGTGATACTTGACAGGAAGTAATCGGCTCTTGTACTTGACTCCAAATATTCCAAAATGACTAAAAAATTTGTGAAGCAGAAGTCACACTGACTCCACTCATCAATAAAATTTGCAAACCCTGACTGTAATTAATGCTAAAGGGGGGACCCACCCTATACATGTACTTGAGTTAATTACCTTTTTATTGGTTATTTAATACATGTAAATGTAGTCCATAGTATAAGCAAACACTACATCTACATCTAAAACTAAAGGGAAAGCAGTAATAGCCTATTTTCCAGTTATAGTCAAGGCTGGAGTTGACGTTGTTTTGATACAACCCCTCCTTCTTTATTATGTGCATCATGTCTTTTTTATGCAAATAGTGCTTTTTAAACAAAATTTACATTTATAAGAAAAGGAAGGAGGTTTAATTTGTATCAATCTCAGCCTCACATTCACTCAAAGACTACAACTTGTTTGGACACCAAGCCCACAACTGTAAAATGGCCTGTTGGTCTTGAATGTACATAGGGTAAGTCAGACTGGATGTCATTCTTTCAGCAATATAATCATTGTATTTTCCCTTCCGTGTTCTACCATCTATTTACTTCCATTAATAATATTATTATTTCATTTTATCTTCCCTTTCAAGAATAATATTATTTTGCACCAGTTACATGTATCATGATATACCTGTTTAATAACTTTTAGTACTTGATACAGGTTTAGTAACATGAAGGCCTACATTACTCGGGGTAGAGGGTTTTTAAGACTGGTAAAATAAGAGATATTTTCTTAGTGTATGAATTTTTTATGAATGGTTACATTGTAGGTACAGTATTCTAATGAGATGCAACAGCTGTATAAAAATTCTTTTCTTCCTATTTTTTTATCAGATGTTTACCAGACCCAAAGTTTTAGTTTGTATGAAAAGACACTTTGTGAACTACAGTCTGTAAAATTGTTGCATAGTATGAATTATTGTGCTTTGTCACATTATCTAAAAGGACATGTGGCAATTAAGCAGCTGAACATCATGCATTTTTGCTGAAGCCTTGATGATAAGAGCTCTTTGAGTCTTGTACAAAAAAGTGTCTTTACAAATATTGTAAACACTATATGGCTGAAAGTTTATGGTTATGATTATACTATGATCTGTTTTAATACAAGATTCTGATATTTTACTCAAGATGAAGAAAATATTTTTCAGCATTCAAAACATAAAGGATATGTGTAGAAAGTTTGACTGTATACCATATATTGAAGGCAAGAGCCTAAAATAATTCCACACAGAGTAGCTCTCAAGGCAATGCTTGCAATTGTGTGTGCAGTTTTAAGACTTATATTATTGTGCATCCAAGTGGAAAATTTGGTTGCTGGCACCTCATCATGAATATAATGTGCTGTTTCTCATAGTCCTGGGAGCAGCTACTCAACATTTTACAAGGGGTGGTTATGCCCCAAGTTGCCTACATTTCTCTGCACCCTTTGAGGTTGTGCAAACACATAGACCAAACCCAAGGTCCAAAGTCTCATTCTTTGTTGCTGAAAGGAAAGGTGTCCGTTTTCTATATCCCCCCCCTCCCCATGTTCAAACTATTTCTTTAAAAAAATATATTCTAGCCACTTGATGAATAAAAGCAGAAGCATATAACCTCGAAGGATAAAAGGATATACCCTCCCCAAACACCAAACCTGTAAGGCCAGACCAGTAGTAGAAATCAGAAATCAGAGTGGGCAGTGATGTTGTATATCTAGCTTTAGCTATGATGGTATCAACGCCATTGTACATACACTGTATATACTGCACCTACTACTAACTAGTGCTCTGACATTGTGCAATGAAGCTAGTGCTGCATGCTTCTCACTCCCATTGTAATACAATGTAAAAATAAAAAGTTAGTGAAGCCATGTTTTACAGACTGTGACATTTTTGCATAGTATGCATTACGCTTCATCCAAAAGGGGACAGAGAAGGCATCCCCCATACACACCCTATTCCATAGGTAATTCGTCTCCAGTTATTTTTAGAATCGGGATGATAAAGTTACCTCGCATGCTGCGTGGATGTTTCATGGAGGTTTCGCATGACTAAACGCCGTGCAAAACATGTTAGGAAATGAAAGCATAAAGAGATCAAGAGCATTCCTGAATATTGAAGCGAAATGAGTCGGCACTCACCTGGGAAAAGGGAATTGCTCCATCACTTCTTCCGAAAGACTCTTACTTCATTTATTTGATTTCTTCGGCGCCTTTTTGCTTGATTTGGTGACGGTCGAACTCGAAGGCACAGGTTTAGGCTTCCCTCCCGGGGGTACTTTAAGAATTTCTGGGTGGGGATGTGCCGCTGGGACCCTGGAACCCTTAACCTATACCAGAGGTAGTTCAGCTGAATTTTGCTACCCTAATCTAGAGTAAACTCCCCAAATCCCCCCTATCCTAGAGTAGCTGTTTTCCAGAAACTACTGAGGTCACTAGCACAGTCTAGCCAAAACAAAACCTTATACCACACTCCCTAGTAAAGATAAAATCTTCAACCAACTGATCAGTTTCCTGAAAAATAATACCCTATTCTAGACCCAAACGCTCTGATTTATATACCCTATCCTAGAGTAAACTGCTTGAGCGGCACATATCTATATAGCTCATATATGGCAGTACCCCCCCCCGCCGGGGCTTCCCTGCACTTTTCCTCCTCTTCGCTTCATCTGCTGAACTATCATCGGAAGAGGAGCTTTCTACGTTTTCTTGTATTTTCATTGGCACTGTCCGTTTCGGTTACAGCTTCCTCCTCGCTTGCACTGACTTTTTCATCTTCTTCACTAGAACTCTCAGCTTCGCTCGAATCAACGTCGTAACAATGCTTAGAAACAAGCCAGGAAGGGCGATCCTTTTTAATTTCCGTTTCGCTGACACAGCTTCAGCAGAAATCTCTCTGTAGCCGTTTTCGTCGACAAAACGAATAGCAATATTGCTCTCCGCGTCTTCCACCATTTTGTTCTGCGTCAATTCGTGAAGGACGCATGGCTCTGAGCGTGGATCATCCACGCAGAACACATTCACGCTATGTGATTGGCTGTTTCCTAATCCCCAGTGGGATCTGTGGTCTTAAAAATAACTCAAGACGAATTACCTCTGGAATAGGGTGTGTATGGGGGGGTGCCCTCTCTGTCCCCTTCATACATTGTATGAATTCAAAATGGTATATTCAAGATGGCAGATGGTTCCAGTTCGTTCTCAATAAATGACGTCATGATGCATGGTATTACTGCTTTAGTTAAAGATTTTTAATGTGTTAGCCAAATTTATGATTTTATCACACTTTAATTATACAAGCACTTCTTAAATCAACTTCAAAAATTATTACAAGGTTCAAGTTTTGTGGGCGATTGCCTTCCTGTGAGTGTGACTACAAAATATACCTAATTGAAATACACTCACTTTGCAGATATAGACAACGTAAATCTTCTGGTTCACTATTATGCTTTCTTTAAAACTGATCGTGCTATTTGGCAGGATAACAATGCCGTTCTTGAAAAATACTACCTCTGTACCATTATTTTTTGTCATTCTTCAGTGCTTCTTAATGCTTCATGTTTCTTTCTTGAGTGTTTCTGTTTTATTCGGGAATGTAGTTTACTCATTCATAAGGCGCCATAGCGATGACAACGGTCTAGTCACAAAGGGAGCTGAAGCAACGACGAGGACGATGGCAACGACGACGGCAACGACGAGGACGATGGCAACGACGACGATGACGACAGAAAGCATTGGGTTAGATGAGCAAAACAACAATTTTGCATGTACATCACCTGCGCTATTTTGTACAGTTTCTTCTCAGAAGGACGTAAACACTGACAAGGCAACGATTTTCTTTTTTTTCTTTTTGTGAACAGTCCATTAGATATCATGAAAAATCGCTAACATTTGACAAATTAAACTACGTTGTAATAAGGGCAATGAAGTTTGAAACAGCACTAATTCGCATGAATTCCATTCACATGAAAATTTGTCGTTTTGAAATCTGAATCAACTTGCAAGGCACACAATTCCATTGAACCATATCCTGCCTAACACCTTCCCTTTACAATGTAATAACCGTTGCTGAGTTAGACGCACACTTCAGGAGCTTCGTCACCCATATGAACAACAACTCCCATACCAACTGCTATTTCATTTGGGAACCACAAAAGCAGACACTGATCAATAGTTTCTTATTATACCTAAGGACACTTGTAAATAAAATGTAAATAAAATATGTGCTTTCCCTGTTCTTTTCACCTCCAAAACATTGGGGATTGTGTATGTTTCTGCTTTAATAAATGTTTCTACTTAAAATATTGAACTAAAAAAATTATTATTGTAATTTTAAAGATTTTGAGCCAATCTATGAGCTTACAATGTAACAGTAATTATTTTATGTGTAACAAAAAAGCAACATCCAACAACCCTGTGATGGATGATAAAATTACAAGTGGTCTTAAAAGCTCTAAAATACATGTTCTGGAACATTGTATGCCCTCTAGTGCACCAGTTTTTTTTTTTTTTTTTCCCAACTTCCCGTAAGCAGGCATCTCCCGCAAGTGGACACATACATGTACCCTTGGTCTCGAGGGTTTCTGTTTATGGGAGCTTCGACTGAACAAGATTTGAGTTCCATTTCAGCTGGGAAATACATGTATTTTGAATAAACAACAGAACATTATTCTTGAATTCAGTATTCAAACAGTACAAGGTTATGAAGAATTATGCTAATCAAGGAGGTGTTAGAGGCCTTTACAAAAACAAAACAAAAAAAAACCTCAATACAGGGCTGTGTTATAGCAGTGCATGGTAACCCCTGGTCAGGTCCCCAAGTTTTGCTCTTGGCCAAGTAGAGAATCTTATTTTTTTGTGTGTGTGTGTGTGTTTGTGTTTTGTTTTGTTTTGTTTTTTTTTTTCATGCACACTCTAGCTTATTTTTTACACGTTCAGAGCACTGGGATCCCTCCAATTTCCTTAGAGCACAGCTTGCAACCTCAATCTGCATATTAATTCATGTCATAATCAAACTCATCTAAGAGAACTGCAAAATGCTAAGGTATAAAAATATCCACAAAATAAGATCCTGGGCCGACTTGCTGAAAGCTGGGTTAAGATAAGCCAGGCTTAGGGCAAATTAAAACACATAAATGAATGCTGTAAAAGTAAATTCAGTCTAATTTTTTTTGTCTACAATTGGATGGTAGGATGCTCTAAAGAGAATGGTGAAAATTGTCTGAGAAAATGCTTTTGAACAAAAGAAAAAGAAAACGATTAAAATTTAACCTTGGGTTAGCACTAATCGGCTTTCGAACAACTGGGCCCTGGTGTAGTAATATACAGTTTGAAATACAATATTTAATAGTCTAAACAAATTGTTCAACAAGATTTACTGAGACTTATTTAGTATGTATAGATATCTGAGCCATTGAAGGAGATCACTCGAAAGACAGTGGACTTGACAAAAAAAGAGAACTGCATGGTCTATGGATTGAGCAAAATACATGTAAATACATTTAAGTCACAGGATACATGCAAGTATGTTTCTATAGCGCAAGTAAAATAAGTCTTAACACAGTGGCACCATGCACAGATAACAGACTTGTAGCTTAGTAGGCGACTATAAGGGGGTGTTTACATGAGAAAACTCGCACTGGTGCGAGTTTCATACCGGGATGACTTTTTGATTTCGTATCGCGTTGACATGATGACTGGGTCAGTTCATATCTCGTTATTTGAAGGTACACTTCATGTTGATAAAATACACGTGTGATTCAAAATCGCAAATGTTATGCATGCACTACCCATTCCAGTCTACCAGCGGACCGATTTCATACCGAAACTTCGTTTCACATTTACATGATACCGCTGCGAGATTTCGTGCCGGAGTGAAATTCTTGCCCCGGTACAAGAACCGGGGTGAACTCACGCTGGGGTGACTTGCGCCAGCATCATATTTTGTGGTGGTATCATGTAAACAAATATAGAGCCATGAGAGGGAACTGGAGTGAACTCGCTCCGGGGCGAAAGTCGCCCTGGTGTTATGTAGACACCCTCTAAGAGTACGGTATAAATTTTAACAGAAGCACCATAGCCTGCACACAGACGTTGGTTAAAGAGAAAATTTATGTAGATGGTCTGTGAATGGCCTTGAGGCATCATGGAAGAAAGTGTCTGAGTTTAACAAAATTTTTTTATGCCAACATTCATCAACTAATTTTGGGCCAAATACACTCAACACTTCACTTCCCGGCGTAATTGATCTAAAAATCAATCGTTCGATTGCTTCTTGGATTGGTTCCGGAAATCGAACACACCGGTAAATCGAACTGGAACTTTCGGTGAGTTCGTTCGATTGCCTCGATTGATTTAGCAAGTTTGATAAAGGTTAAACAGGGCAAGAGTAATAACTGGATTAAAAATTGGAACACAAAAACTGTATATTTAAGGTATTTTATAACTGGGGATAGAGATAATCAGAAAAGGGCGCAAAGTGTTCATTTCGTTAAAAAGGCGGGAAAACGTTACTATTAATAGAAATCGTCGTCTCCATATTTTAATATACTGAGGTTTTTCTCCTAAAAACTGAGTAGAGCTGCTGCTTTACTTGGAGTGCAAACGCATTTGCGAGTACGTAATTTATAACGGAAGGTACTGGAGCGCAACCACCGTCGAAGACCGATATGACTCTGAAGTTTAGTGTACACTAAACAAATGTTCTGCGATTAGGGGAAACATGTGACACAGAACTACATCTTACATGTAATTTGACTTGCTTATCGTTCCTTTTAACACGCTAACCAAGGAATACGCGTTACAACCTTGTATATTTCCGATGAGCTTCACAGCAGCTACCTAATGCAATCGCAAGCATCTTGGCTTGATGCTCGGATTGAATTTTAATTAATGTGCCCTTTTCTACCATCCATACGCAGAAAATTTCCCCTGTGTACAGAATACAGTAATATATCTGTGCTTACCTGCTTCTTGGATCAAAATCTTTGTTAAAAAACACCGGATAGGGGATGAACTCCAAAGAAAATGTAGGAGACATAAGCTTCACATTCAAAATGGCGAATGAAGATTCCCGAATAATGTTCTGCGTCATCGTCATATTTCGCGCTCTTGTTCCTGATTGGTCCAAAATCCAGCTTTTCTATCATTGGCTATAGGCAAGAAAGTTCTCGCTCTGATTGGACCAAACGCCGATGCGGAGCTTCACGCAACACGACAACCAATTGCGTGACGACAGCAAAATCCGAGTATGTGGACAACCTCGGGAATCACAAAAACTTTTTGACACAAAGGAAAATTACTAGTAAGAGAAGAAATAAAGAAAATGATACGAAAAAAGAAATTCATGCAGTTCGAAAATTCCCCACCCTTGCCAATAAACTTCGCCCCATAATCGGGCTGTTGCATTTAACATCCCTACCCCCCGGTCGAGGAATCACCTTTTCTTCTTACCCCTGATCGAGATTAAACAAAACAGGCCATTTCCGAGTTTTAAAATATATATCTCGCTTTCAAACGAAGCTAAGTGCAAACCTTTCTTGTGAAAATGAGTTATTTTTGCATGAGAATAAAAATCATTTTCATATTATTTGCTTCGTAGCCTCGCTTTAAAACAGAGGCTTTGGGCAACCCCGAAACGGCCTACTGCATTCACCCCTGAAGACTTCCCAGAAATATGGGTGCTGTGTGGATCTATCTCTGCAAAATATGGGTCTACCCCTGAAGAATTGCGTGAAAATTAAAGCTTCACCCCCAAAGAATTCCTTTTTTGTTTTCGTTTTTGTTTTTACTCTACCCCTAAAGAAATCCTCAATTCTTATAACTTTACCCTGGAGAATTCCATTTGTTCTTAACCGGGGAAGGAGGACATTTCAGTCGCAACGCCGAGTTTCGGCCACCTGTGGTTTAACTCTCTGATGCTTACGGGTAAGTTCTCTGGTGCTGTGGGGGTGCACTCTGGCCGGGACGGGGAAAAAAGGGGGGAAACAATAGGAGAAAGTGGTTGCCAAAATGCAGCGTGGTATGACTCAAAATCGCTTAGTTGTTCAGATCCAGACGGCACTTTGGAGAAAAGGAAGACCCTTATTCAGCCGCAATAAAAAGCTTCACCCTTCAAAAGAGGTCAAAGAAAATGCTCTTGCATCAGAGGGCAAATCCTGCCGACAAGAAACAAAAACCTCAGTAAATCGATATGTGTGCCATGACTTCTCAGTGTGAAACAAGCGGCTAAAATCACATTTGCTCAGTGAAAATGGAGAACCTTCCAGAGCATAATCTACCCGGCAGGTCCAGCAGAGGAAAAAACTTATGGTAACAAGCAGTATTTTGGCATAAGGTAAAAGTCGTGTAGGCCTACCTATAAATACCCGAAGGTGTAATTCCTGACGGCGACCGAACGCTGTTGACCTCTTTGTACTTTTCTTCGGAGCTTCACGTTCTGGAGAAGTCATGATAGTATCTGTACCTTTCGCACTCCAAGTTCGCTCTTTGCAGGAGCTTGTTAAATTAGAAACTGAACTAGCAAGACGAACGGCCTGTCGCGCACAATTTGAGCAGCTTAAATCGGAAAAGCTTTCTCCTTGCTCAAGTGGAAATCTTAACGATTCAATGCTTGAAATAGTGCAACGCTGTCTTGACCACTGTCAACCAGCAAGGTCTTATTTCTCGGAAACGCCAAAGACCGGCACCGCGCGTACTAATTATCTTACTGGAGATCAACGACTTTTTGCAAAATTGACAATGAGGCTCGCGCTCCATTTCACTCTGTTTTCAGAAGGAGCAAAACACCGCTTATTTCCCGTTAATTTTTCCACGCGCGAAATTGATTGACAGATAACGATCTTACTGACAGATAATCAGTAGGATAATTACAAGAGGGCGGAATAGCGGCCTGTACAGTACCGCAAATGATCCCCAACCGCAAATGATCCCGAGACCGCAAATGATCCCCAAAATGGACCGCAAGTGATCCCCAAAGTCGACCGCAAATGATCCCGTAAGAAAAATAGGAATGACTTGGACTCAAGTTGGCGGATCATCGTGTCGATTTTACTATTATTACCAAAACGTCAGATTAAAAGCTAAATTTTACTTCTCAAATAAATCTATGAATAAAAACTAAATGAAAAAAAAAATCATTTAAGTGTAAAAACGAAGTCGGTAGGCAACACACGACTTTTACCTCATGCTAAAATGCTGCTTGTTCCGATGAATTTTTTCCGGATCTGGCGGGTAGATTATACCTCGGAGCAAAACGTTTTGACTGAGCAAATGTAATTTTTGCCGCTTATTTCATACTGAGAGGTCATGACTGTCATGACACGCATTTTCTGCGGTTATTGTTGTCTTGCTGTTTATCACGTAAAATTAACACTTCAGAGAGAAATCAAAATTAAATATTCTGAAAATTAATTTCACACTTTCAAAAAGATCAGTAAAGTCAATAAAGCTCTTGTTATGTAGAGGGTGCCCGGCTCTGTATTCCTCAGCTTCTAGGCGTTAAAATAATAGAGTCTTTTCTGCGTAACGTCCTGCCTGTCTTAAATTTTTCAGCGACGAAACATTCTTGAAAGAATGAAGCAATTGAGGTAAGGTAAGCGGTAGTTATCGCGTGACAAAACATCGTAGGAAACCGTCACATTCACGGACGAAAAAGAAAACCGCCTATAATTATTCGGATCCGGGATTTTAGCATGAGGTAAAAGTCCTCTGTTGCCTACCGACTTCGTTTTTACACTTGAATGATTTTTTTTTCATTTAGTTTTTATTCATAGATTTATTTGAGAAGTAAAATTTAGCTTTTAATCTGTCGTTTTGTAATAACAATAAAATCGACACGATGATCCGCCAACTCGTGAGTCCAAGCATAGGCGTACGGGCCGGGGGGGCGAGGGGGGCTGCAGCCCCCCCAAATTTTGGGCAACTCAGATTTTTTGGGCAGCAAGAGAAAATTTGGGCAAAGCCAGCTTTTAAAGACGTTTCCATGTTTTTTTATTAGTGTTTTGAAGAGATAAATATTTTCTATTTTAACCTGAAGTCGGTGTAATAAACCAGTTACATTCACACGAGACAGTGGTTGCCAAGCACGTGAAAAGTTTGTAGTTATAAGGGAAGGGTATCATGTGATGATTTTTTTTCATCGTTGGGCGCTGTACTGCAATGGGCTATTTCCAATCGTGAATTGATTACAATAAACTTCTGCCTAACTTCATTTCTAGAATCATCTCTGTTAGTTGGACAGTATGTTGCAGATAGCATCAGCGATGGGTCTGAAAGTGAAGAAGTGGCTGACTAATTCTCAGTTTAATACGAGAAGAATCTTAATTTTTTAAAAAAATCTATCAAGCGTTTTAAATTATTCACTAATTTGTTAAAGTAGACCGAAATGTTTACAAAACCGCTAACAAGAGCGCCATGATACATACTAATCAAATCCTTCTTTGTAGCAATTGACCGGAATTAATTCTATATTCACACACGTTTTTAAAAAGATTGAAACTGCTATAAGGTGAAATTGCATGTCAAAAGCGCTTCGTTTTCTAGAGATAACGGCTAAACATCAAGATTTTCCTTTTTTTAATGTTTTTCTGACGATAAAAACTTTATCCCAAAATATTTCGATAACGCTCTTACAGATTCTGTTTTACCTTCACGAATATCGAGGCGACTATTGGAGGAAAAAGCTCCCGAGAACGATTTCACAGTGAGAAATAATGCTGCAAGTGTAATAGGTAATGGCGTCAGTTCGTTGCTTTGACAACTCCGATGTCATTGCAACCCAGATCATGACAAATTTTCATCTTTATCTAATACAACCGTGGTCCCCGTAGCAATCTTTCCAAATGCTTGTTTATGGCCACCGTAGTTTATGCTCAAACTTGGTAGGTATTGACCCTGAAAAACTGTATCGAGCCACTTTCATAGGCCAGTACGGCCTATGTTGTTGCATCGTATGGCCCTCTTTTCTCTTCGACTGTTTTGTAAAATTTGGGCAACTTGCAAGAATTTTTTGGGCAAATGGTTTACCGCCCCCCCTGGCCGAAAACTGCCCGTACGCCTATGAGTCCAAGTCATTCCTATTTTTCTTTCGGGATCATTTGCGGTCGACTTTGGGGATCACTTGCGGTCGAGGATCATTTGCGGTCCATTTTGGGGATCATTTGCGGTCTCGGGATCAGTTGCGGTTGGGGATCATTTGCGGTACTGTACAGGCCTCAAATGTTTGTCTACAGGCTCTCTCTCTCTCTCTCTCTCTCTCCCCCCTATTCACTTTTGTCAGTTCTTTGAAAACTGAAGAGGTATGCGCAATTGGAACGAGATAGAATTATTTAAAAGTGGTGAAAAAAGTGGAGCATTTCTGGTCTAATAATTTGTACTTTTTGAAATAGGGATTAGCTGGTGCGTCCCACGTTGAGATGATTTATGCAACTGGCTCCCAAAAGTCGAAATCAGGTGACCGCTACCGCAGAGATGCCAATCCATTCGGAATTATAAGTAGGAAAAGCCCCCAGTTTAAAGTCAAAACTAGAATAGGCCAATGAAATGGCAAGTCTTTCTGTAAACATGTACTTGGGACTTTTTGGCCTAGCGATATGATTGCGGTTTCCACGAAGGACGTTTATTCCTACAAAACACCTGCGTCATTCGGGTCCATTCTCAGTTCAGTGAACATGAATGAAGTATATTTTTCTAAACTGAACATGGGAATGTGACGCCTGGTCTAAAATTCTAGATCTCGCCATTCATCGTCAGTTAATTCATTTCCAAACTATTTTAATGGTAGCAGTTTTTTGAAAAAATCATAAACGATGTTTTTTTAAAATCATACACAGATGGCTTTTAATAGGCACTAAAAATGAATACCCCCGACTCTAAAAATATTCAAAACCACCCATCCTTTTCTTGCGGTCTCCATTATGTAAGGGCCTTCACCGGGTGACCAATGCTAAACAACGCCAGGAGTAGCTTTGAAAATTTAACCTGATGTTCTAAACTAGACTGTATCTTTACCGCAGTTGATTTACTTTTGACTAACCAAACAAAAACTATAATATATCCTCTGATTCGATATTAATGATTTGGCAAAGACTGTCTTCTTATCTTTAACTAATCCATTTTACAAGTGCGCTAGGATCCAAGATCGTTCTTTCATGCAAATGTGAACAGAAAGAATGATCTAGCGGGTGAACGGTTCATTACTTCACGATTGGAAAAGTGTCAAAATATTGAGATTTCACGGTTCTATGACTCATACAGAAAATTGACCATTGATTAGAGCTAACAAGCAGCATAACTTTCATGTGGCTGCTGTTTGCGTCAAAAAGAGAACAGTACCTCGCAGTTTCCGTGGTAAGTACGCTGCTTCCTGTTCAGTCACATAATCAATTACTTCTATTTTCTAAAGTGTATCTCAGTGTTCGTGGCTAAAGTAGCGGTCGGTTAATTGGTGTTTAGGCTAGTGCTCTGAGCTCGTCTTCCACATAGCCATAGGGTAAGCTCGAGTTTTCGGTCCCAGAAGCTCATATGTAAGTTGCGTTTGCGTTTGCGTTTGCGTTTGCTGATGATTCTCGCCCCTGAAAGCTGTTATCTAGCTACAGCATAAGTTTGGGGCTAACTGCTTGAACGACAGAAATCTTAATGTGAGAACAGTTGAAGTTTAACTTGATTCTGCAGGCGATACTAAACTACTTGGCATGAAGATAGACAACTGTTTTTGAACAACCGCATCGAATAAAGGAAAGCGACTTGGCCTTTTCAAAAGAACAGATAAATTTCTGTGACTGAAAGCTGAGATACTTGACTACGGGGGTTATTGTCTGGAGGACAGGAAGCAAACAAGCCGCACGTCCAAGACGCAATCAATTTACAGAAACGATGCGCCAGAGTAATCCTAGACAAAAAATAAGACACCCCCTCGGGGCCTTTATTTAGAGACCTTAACGTCATGCCAGGATTTGATAAAAGACAAGAACGCGCTTACAGCGGCATTCCCTCTTGCGGTTTTTGAGCGATTTTGCATGAATTTTAGTTCGCCGTTGACTGTTCTATTATATGGAACAGTCAACGGCGAACTAAAATTCATTCAAAATCGCTCAAAAACCGCTTCTGAGGCAAAAGGACGACTATACACCACAGGCAAGGTAATTCAACGTTAATTTATCATTGATTTATATACATAGTTAGCGATATATCGCTATAGGTGAAGCAAACGGTAAATCCAGTACATTTACTATAAAATAACAATCGGTTACACAAACCTATTGTGTGGGCCCCCTGTGGCTATACGCGTGTATAAATACACGAAAATTCAAGGGTCTCTATTCCAGAGAAATTACATCACTGGCAGAGATTAAAAAAGAAAGATTTACATGGCACGTCATTTCAATCGTCGCCGAAAATAAACCGCCTTCTCATCACAAGACTCATTTGCATACAGTGAAAGTTTACAACACCTGATCGTCGCAGTTTTGCTAATTAAGATTCTTATTTTTTTTCCACCACTCAGTAGTGTGCGCTTGTTCCAAAGTAATCAACGCTTTCAAGAGATAGAATTCGTGGACCTACACGTTTTGGAAAAGCCCCAAATTTAATCCTTCCCGTAAGCTTTCTTCGCAAAACAGGCGTGGCTTCGATCATGCAACGATTCTTAGTCCCAGATTCCACGCGGTCTCTGCAAGGAAAACCTGGCACAATGACCCTCCCCTTGTGTACAAAATACAAAGAAAAACGCGCTGCAGATTATGAGTCTCGCTGCTTATGCAAGCGAGACTGATAAGTACAGTAATTAATGTTTTGATCCGCGAACCATAACAAGCAATTACCCAATCACGGGGCAAATTTAGATTTTACTAAAACCTACTTTCTGACAAATTTCAATCTATAGTCAATCATTGGTAACAATTTTATGGCGATCAGACAGGGAGAAAATCACTTTTAAAGCAATTGAAAAATACCGGTATGGCCTCTGAAAAACTATATCGAAACACCTTAATAAACCTCTATTTCTGTGTCTATAAAGCAAAATAAAGATCTTAGGATCATCTCGGGATGAATTTAGAGAAAATGTAAGGGCTTTCTTTCCCCGGAGACAAAGCAAACGGTCCTTAAGAACGAGCTGTTTTTTTTACGATAGTCAAGGACTGTACAGAACGACTGTCTGCCATTGCCTTGTCACTAGGCCTCATTATTCTGCGCGGCCAATGCGTTTCGGGTCACGTGGTTCGAGCGAGTTTTGTCTCGGGTCTCGGAAACGCCACCGAAATGCTTTGACCAGTACTTACTGTTCAGCTGGCTTTCACCATCTGAGTCAAGCAACAGATCTAGCTGCTAAAGAATAATTTTATGTTTTACCGCTGATTTTGGCGTAGACTTCACGGTCCCCTATTTTTTTTTTCGTGAGATCGTCGAGATATAGTACGTCCTACCGTTAATGGCGGCCATCTTGATTTTCAAATGTACCGGAGGTAGTTTTGACACTCGTGCAAGATGGCAACCCGAAACGCAAAGCGCTTGATCTCGACGATCTTACGGAAAAATAGAGGACTGTGAATAGTCTAATTTTGGCGACGCTTTTGTACAGTTTTCAGACCGAACTTCCTGGCTTCCTGGCCAAGAAAGTCAATAACGTTTTTTCTTGAATGTTAAAAGTGTTCGCTGCTCCTAGGGTCTCGCCTTGTATCTTTCGATTGGCCTTGGAAAAATACTGACAACAGTTTTCAATACTGACACCGTACCAGTCATGTGTACACTGAATAGCGAATTGGAGATCTAAAAACAAAGCGCTTTCAACTCGTCCTACAAAACGCAGGCCAAGTGAGGTCAAGCAAGACTCATGCCCCGCGCGCTTTCTTTTTCTTTCTCCCAGCCTCCCTGCGACACAAAGAGGCCTCTGCGGAGGAGAGAGCGTAAGGAGTCAAAGTAGCCGCGAAATAGGAAATGCAACTGGTCATAAGTGAGTTTAGCACCTTCCTTAAAATCAACAAATGTAGGGAAATATTTCTTTTATGGTTAACTCTTTTTACCCTATTTACGGCTAACGGTTAAAATTTGTCAATTTTTACGGCTATCGACTAAATTTTTGGCCATTTTACGCCTGACGGTTAATTCCATTGAGACCCTCGTGAAAGGGGTTTTGAAACTCCACCCCCACAGGGACAGGCTCCTTTTGAATTTAATCGAACCTAAGTATCAGGCCTTTCTTCTTTGTTTTCAAGACACCCCCTCTGGTACCCAGGGTACCTCCAATAATAATAATAAATATATATATATATATATATATATATATAAAACAGGGGGGTCTTTGTTTTCAAGTTTTGAGGTCTTAGGGGGTCTTTGTTTACAAGACACCCGGTTTAACAGATGGTCGAAGGCCTCAGTTGAATTTCACTTCGCACGTGCTTCGCGCACTGGCTGAGCTTGACAAACAAAGAGGTAAACAAGTGATGTCACAGACATGCGTAGTACGTTATTCAGCCCATGGAGAGTGGAAATTTATTCAAAATGGCGGCCAAGATAAAGACTGAGAGGATCTGGGTACGAGGTCTTGAGGCTGGTGAAAAACAAACAAATTGGCCGCAAAGGCAAACTCGAAAGAAGCTAAAAATATGCAAGAATGCACTTACAAGCCACAGGAATACGGCAGAATGATATAGCGATCTTATTTTCTGTTCAATAACCTTCATTTGTTTTAAGCCTGAACGTTCTAGCGTACGCAGCACTTAACAACTGTCTACAAGTTATTTTCTCGATGCCGGCCATTTTCACTGTTTTCTTTTTTTTTTTTTGCCAACCCTGAGTGCCAGAGGTTCAGTTTTCTTCTTTCATGAAAGGGGAGCTTTTTCTAACTGTGAGCGCAATTTATTTTATCTTAGCAATTTCAAGAACAGACCTCTGAAGCCAAGGAATTTTTTATCGCTCTAAAACCTCTGCCGCTCCGAAATTCAACTAAGCATTGATTGATTCGCAGACACTTTAAGCTGATAAATTATCGTCAGTTTTGTTACAGATCTTCATGAGGTTTCTGACTGAGTTTTTCTATCTGCACACATCTTAACTGAACTCTGATCTGTAAAGAAACAATTTTTTTCTGAAAACGAGAACCAGAGAACACTATTTTGTTAATATAATTTGAGGAAACTTTGGTTCTAACAATATGAAAATTAAACAAGTTCTTCGTTCAGTTTGGATATTTTGTCAATTGATCTGGTACAGGTAAAGAAAATGTTGTCAATCTTCATCTGCTTCACAGTTTTTAGACTTTCCAAATGTTGGCTTTCGATATCTAACCCTGTTCACAATGCTTCCGGGCAATAGAGACTGGAAACTCATCAGTTTCATCTAGCAAAAAGCCCAAGTACAAGAAGGTTGTAGGTCAAGCAGCCGAGGATCAAAAACAAATCCGAACTTCCAGTTGGTAAATAAACTATCCCGGATCGGTCCACACGAAGTTTTACAGTCGTCGTTGATTGATACAGTCTTTTATTTTTTAGTGAAGGATAATAAGGGAAGGGGAGGTAGGGTAGGGGTTTAAAGAGAGGGGGGATTATTGTTAAAACTTTCTTCCTCTGGAAAGGGGGGCTTATTAGAGGGGGGGGGGGGCTTAATAGAGGATTTAAGATATTGTTATTATTGTTTTTTTGTCTCTCAGATGTCAAAAAGAGCATTAAACCTGCTTTAATAGCTAGCAAAAAGTGAATTGTGTTTCCATTGTTTGCAATATAGCAATCCAAAATGTATTCTCCACTTTGAAATAGATTTGATTTTTAGAGCAAAAGCTTTTTTAATCCCTGACTTTGGTTTATTTCACACATTACTTGGGGCTGCACTTTGCCATGTCAATGTGCAAATTGACTAAAGGCTAGACTCCAGTTGTTCAAAAGTTTGATAGTCCTATCTGAGTGACAAGCATTGTAAAAGTTGCTATCTCACTTGGGGATAATAAGTCTTTTAAGTCAAACATGCTTTGCTTGTCAGATGGGCCCTTTCATACTCTAAAATTGAGACATGACTCGATAGAGGTGTGCTGATTATTGATCATAATCTATCATTGATCAGAAACCTAAATCAAAATGAGTATTACTTAAACAAATGTTCAATTGATTATTGTGGAAAATTAACAAAAAAGTTGTCGACAAATGGGGACATTAATACACCTGTGTTCTCTTTTTGATGGGCTCGTCATAACGAACTTTCTATGAAGTTTAGTTGGTTTAACTATGCGATAGACAAGCCTCTGCTTGCAGGGTAGGTTTTTGTTTTGTTCACTTACAAAATGATTTTCAATGTTTAAAGTGGTCCACAGGGGACACATAACTACAATCAACTATAATTGATTATCAGTTTAATAATTGGGTTAATCTGATTATTTCTGATGATATGATTATGATACAGACACTATTACTAAGACTCAGCCAGCGCGTACATCTCACAGCTTCAACCTCACATCCCAACATCTAAACAAGCTGAAAGCCTTGCCTTGTCCCTGTGCGGCATTTTCCCAGGCCTTCTTGGTCAATTCATTTGGGGGACGTATCTTAGGCAAACTGGCGGGAAACTATGTCACTATTTAACTTGGGACCACGTGACCCGAAACGCATTGGCAGTGACTGAGCAACTAAAAGCCCACTATGCTAATGCAGACTCTGGCGCAAAACACTCCAAAAGCCTTGTAATCCATTCATGAAAAATCCCATGATCCAGAAGTTGCAGGCCCCTTCTGCTCTTGTCTATTCAGTGGATAGTGATATATGCACCCCTTGAAGCAGTTTATTATTTTTTTAATCCAAGTTTTAGAACTGAATTATAGCTGCTTCATAATCATATCCAGCTGGTTTTGGAATACAACAATCCCAGCCACTATTTCACCTGGTCCACAGACCCATTTCAAGCATCTGTTTAGTGACAAGAACCATGCACACTTAGTCCACAGTAATTAGAAGCTCAATTGACAGGTTTTGGTTTGACAGAAAACGTATTTATCTTAGGTTTGCTGTCGCCCCATATAAGGGAATCCGGAATCCGGGAAATTTTTCTCTTGGAATCTGGAATCCTGGGCTTTGGAATCTGGAATAAAGGTCAAGTATTCTGGATCCCACTTATAATTGGAACCCGGAACCCAAGTTCCACTGACAAAGAATCCAGAATGCAGTATCCATGGTGCGGGATTGAGAATCCAAGACTGTCAGATTCCCTTGCAAGGGCTGATCACTGTTTTCAACTTGATAAAATAAAATAAAAAATGTGCTTTCATTACTTTATTTTTGCAACTGGAAAGAAATCCCACAAGCTTCAACACACTCATATGCAAGTTTTTTATTTCTGAGATTATGCACGATTTCTTTATAACCCCTGCATTAATATAATTGTGCATGATACAGCTATTGTTGAAAGAAAACAAAAGTCAGAACAGTACTAAACCTTTGCAAACGGATAGCCAACTTTATTGATAAGCTGAAGCCTTGCAAGTATTCTTTGACAAATTGGGAATCAAAGAAACAAATCTTTAGTAAGTTAGGACACACAAACCAAATAGCACGAGCAACAGAAATACATCTATGCCTTGTAATATTCCCAGCGATTACCATTTCAGATATCTCATAACTTATCGTACGCATTTGTAAATATATGTAGCAGCTGGTTTGGCTGAAACTCGATCGCGTGTGCCTTAAATCACATGCTGAACACCGATGAAAGCAAGAATTAAATCGGCTATCTTCGAATCTTTACCTTCCAACGGTACAGTCACAGTTTTCCAAACAATCAGACCTGAATTCTGTCCACCTTTTTGGTCTCAAACACCGAAGAAAGCACTTCTCAGACTCCACAAAGCCCTCAAAGGGCCACCATCTTTGTTTTGGAAAGAGTAAACCAATGAGAGCGCACGGATGAACGCACCACAGTATGCACCAATCAGCGATCGTTTTAGTTCGCTGTGTGCTAGAGTCTTCTCTCCTGCCGCCGCCTTATTGGAATGCGAGAAGACCCTGGGAATGATGTTGCCTTAAATACATGTATGGCGGTGAATCTCAAACCAAAGCTTTTGCTTATGACCTTTATTCATGATAGTCATGCAGCCGTAAAAGGATTGTGTTTCATCTTGTTTTACCGATGAGGTAGATCGATGTTCATGCAAGGAAAAGGAAAAAAACCTCTTTTTTATCTTCACATTATAAATCAAAGTTCCCCGGAACGTGTACATTGTATATGAAGCAATTTAACAGCTACATACGTTTTCTGACCAAAGTGTTTGATATGAACAGCTTACATTAATTTGGCAGATAAAAGAGTTAAATAGAATAATACTGTTTTTGTTTTGTTTTTTGTTTTTTGTTTTTGCTTTTGTTTTCTTTGTTGGAGTTCATTTATATACTGAAGCTTGCCTACATGATACTAATATAGAAGAACTCGTACATTGTTCTTGATAGTTGATCAAAAAAATAACAATTCTGAGAAACTGACACAACAACCGTGTCCTATAACTTCCGGGAAATATTGTTATATCTCAATTCTTGGATTGATTGTGGCTCTTGCGATCTAGTCGCTCTAGAGCAGTCCACTACACGCGTCAAAGCATAGCTGTACACTGACTTTTTGCATGGATTAGGCTTTGTTGGAATAAACACAGGGCGCTGTTGTAAGAATTCGTGACAGTTGTGCAAACCCGAGACGAAGGGTTTGCATTACTTTCGAGCCGTGATTGTGCCGTCAGGTGTGCCAGTACGGCTAAAACTTGTTTTCAACTGCAGTTCCCAAGAAAGGAGCAGAACGGTTGGTAGTGGCACTTATTAAAGCTTATTATTTTTTTTAGTAATCACAAATTGTACGTTGCACACGACTGTTTGCCCGCTTCAGTAATCAGTTCTCGTTTTGCAAAAAAAGAAAAAAAGAATGTCAGGCTTAACCGAAACAGCCTTAATACAGCGTGTTTGTAAAGATTGTTCGAATTGCACTGGAAAACATCTTTGATGCCACAGCATTTTTGAAAAGAATAAATTGTGTAAGGCGGGAGGGGGGGGTACGAATATCGCAAAAACGCACAGAAATACGTATAAACACCGCACAGAGTAACATAAGAATACCGCAAACCCCATTGAAATTACCCGAAATTTTCTAAATACCGCAAATCACAAGGTTTTGTAAAACCGCAATACTACAACTTAAAATAAGTTCCCGCAAAACCGCACCAAAAATCAAACAAAACCGCATCACCGAAAACCCTTAGGCCACCCTCTCAAAACCTTTTATTTTCACACTCGCGGATGGTTGCCCAACTCACACTTCTCATGCACACTTTTTTTTCGAAAGTGCGTTTTTGCTCAGTGACGTGGCCTGCAGCTACAACAGTTTGCAAAAATACCGAGATACTGCACCGTATTTTGGCATAAATGGCCTGTCCATGATTTTGTGGTTGTGATCCCCCCTCCACCCCTTATAAAAGTTGCTAGCAATACAAGACCATGCTCAAAACTTGTAGGAACAATTTTGAATGGGAGGGAGGAGGGAGGTCAGTATTATATCTCACAGACCTGTGACCAGCAGCGATTTGAAGGAAGAAAGGTCGTCTTTTCGAGGGAGTGTCTCAACACTTTTGCAACTGGTTTTAGTTTATTTTTTCAGCGAACAAAACATAGTTTTATTCGTAAAAATCTTCCCACAGAATTGGTTTGGGACACCAAAATAGCCCCCTTTTGGCAGTGTTGTGTGAATCCGGAATTCCTCTAATGTGTAACATCAGCAGTGAAAAGCTTATGCTTTATTAATTATCTGTCGCCTTATATAATTTCACTGTTAATTTTTTTTATATTTTATCTTGAGGACACATTGTCAGTTTTGTATAAATGAACGGTCACTTTTGATCACTTTTGAAAAATTCCTGTATGTTAACAAGTACAGGAAAGGTGAAGTCAATTAAGCATGAGACGCAGTGCTTCTTCACCAGATGAAACACCCAAAGGATTTGTTGCAGATGCAGATGCAAAGATTTATCAGCGTTTGAAAAGGCTATATCTTCGTGGGCCTTTTTTCAGCCAACGGGATCTGTTCCTTCGCCTGGACGTATACAAAAATAACCAGACGCTCCCATAGCGTTTACGCGTTCTAAACTGATAAGCTTTAGAAGCAACAAGAGCTGAATAAAACATTTTCGTGTTTGAAGGTTGACTACTTTATTCTACAATTTGTTACTTTGCAGGTTTCAAGTCGAATAAGTGATGTAAACCACACGAAAAGTGCTGCGATAAAGCCATGATGCTCGCATCGCTTTGGTTTCTGTGCATCTTTAACTTTTGCCTCGTTTCCTGTGAAAATCATAACAACACGTTCACTGAGGTCAAGGGAAACAAGACTTTTCATAACATCAACGGCACTGTTAACACTAATAAGACGCTGACTGTCGCAGATAGCCCATATCTGGTCACAAGTGACTTAGTTGTTCCTGAAAGTGTATCACTTACTGTGGAGGCCGGTGTTGACGTTCTTTTCCTACCTAAAGTCGGTGTTCACGTTTATGGAACTCTATACGCAAAGGGTACGCACTCTCAGGCTATCCGCTTCCGAGCGATCCAGTGTAACGAAACTAAGTTCTGTAACAACACCAACTCAACTGCGAGTCAGTACATAAATCCTGGAATACGATTGGTTGGTGGTACGTCGTACAATAACGGTCGTTTGGAATTGAAATGGAACGGGCAATGGGGAACAGTTTGTGATCGCTCCTGGGGTGATGAAGATACTGAAGTGGCTTGCAGGCAACTTGGCTTTCTAGGAGCAAAAAGGCATTATCGTCACCCTGGAAGTGGCACTATTTGGCTTAAAAATGTTGGCTGCAAAGGAAACGAGAATAGTCTTTTGAGCTGTAGAAGCTCTGGGATGGGTAATGTATGGGGATGTGGTAAGTACTGAATTGCTTAAATAAAAAGTCCTATTAATATTTGTCATCCAGAAATGTAACTATAATAAAAGGCAAAGTTTTATACGTTCCAAGTACACGGGATACAAGTACAGCAAAAAACCCCTCATATAAAATCTGCATACCAAATAAGAACAAGAAGGACTGAAGCACTGGCCACATGATTTTTGAAGTCTTTTGCCCAAGTGTACAGATTTTTATAGTATAATTTTGAGAAAACAAGGACCTGTTTCAAATTTTAGGCATAACAGGTACGTGTATAGAGGGGGCCTAACTGACAAATTTTAGCCTAAGAGGTTTTAAAAGCTGTTGAAAAACGCATAGCGATAAAAACTGATGACACTAAAAGTTCACAACATTTAGGATCATCCTCGTCGAAGACTGCAGTTAGTAGTACTAGAACCATGTGACGTTCTTGATTTTTAGTTATTTTCATATTTGTCATTCAATTTCCCTTTATTTGATTATTTACTTCATCTTGAACAGGACACTACCAAGACGTTGGAATAGAGTGCGACACACTGCTCCCTTTTCTTGAAAACGCTGTTTATTGGAAAGGAATAACATTTACGCCGAACAATTTGTCTGACGAAGAAAGCCGCCTGTACCTGGAAAATGTGCACATAGCTCATGCTGTTCAAGGAATAACGGCCTTGAAAAAGGCACCAGAATTAGCAAAAGTCACAATTACTGACTGCGTCACTGGAGTATTGATGGAAAACCTTGAAAATCCGCTAGTCATGGCTGACGCAAACATCTTGAGGTGCAAAACCAGTGGTGTAAACGTAACTAGCTCCGTAGGATCAGTCACAATTGAGAATGTAACGGTTCAAAATAC